CCCCCCCACACACACACAGACACTCACACACACGCACACACACGCACACACAAACACACACACACACACACTCACACACACACACGCACACACAAACACACACACATGCACACACACACACACACACACACAATTACACATACACACACAAACATGCACACACACGCAGTATGCTTGCACTCACAAACAGGCTCACAGTCACATGCATAATATAAATGAACAGTAATATAAACAAAAATAATGTTAAGCTAGATACATACTCAGTATTCTGATTGATAAGATGCTACTTTAGAAATACAGAGATCTATCTGCCATTTTGGCTGTTCTGAATTATTAGGGCCATGAGTCGAAATTCAAAATATTTAAAGAACAGCATTCGGAAAGTCTTGACATGTTCTGAAACTCTAAATGTTCAGTGTCAAATTTCTCAAAACTAAGAACTGAGCAGATAAAATGTATATTTCTGGAGTAGGGGTTGAGTGCTTGATCGCTTTACCATTGTCTTTAATAGTATTGTCCTGTTATATCAACCATACGCTCGGGCAGGAGAAACAGAGGAAGACCAAGACATCGCTGGACTGACTCTGTTAAGGACACCGTCCAAACCCAAGACCTGACTCTCACCAAGTTTGTAGCTGAAAGACAATCTCTCTACCTCCCTCTTTCTCTCTCTCTCTCTCTCTCTCTCTCTCTCTCTCTCTCTCTCTCTCTCTCTCTCTCTCAATTTTGGTTTTATGTCGTGCTTCGCCTTTCCCTACTCAGCAGGAATAATTTGTTTTACTTAGTGATTTGAAATTCATTTTGAAATTGTAAAAGTGTATAGAAATTAATTTCTAATTTGAGCTTTAAAAAAATGTGCATACACACTGAAAAAACCCCTATAATATTGTGGTGTGATTTACTCTTTTCCCTTCTTCGTTTTCGTGTTTGTTGTAGACACGTGTGCTACTTGCAACGTAAGTGTGTTGATCTTGTCGTATAACCTAAAAATAAAACCTCAATTACAATGGGGCCCTAAAGTGTGTTGCGCGGCACAGAACAACGGGAGTGCCACAGACATTCCGCAAGTCTTGTGAAGTATTTCGAATTTCAGCACCGTGGCGTGGCTGGTGGGGTTGTTGCATCATCGTGTAGAGGCCGGCCCCGGCTGGGGTCGGAGCGGGCGGAATCGGCAGTAGTGTAAAAGCTAGGAGAGAGAAAGCCTATAGGGTCACAGGCTGTTGTGTTTGTGGGTGAGACGGGGACAGCGCACACTAGGCCACGCGGCGTGTGTACAGCACGAGGTGCTTCTCTCACGTGCTTGACAGAAGAGCTGACTACGTCACCACTCCCGCTAGGTGTGTAGTGTGTTGGGAGGGAAGGCTTTCCTTTTTTTTTAATTATTAGGGTGTGGTTTTTTTTTTTTTTTGCTGGCTGGCGGCTGACACAGCTGTGCTGGAGGGTTGGGCTTGTTGTGGTGTGTGCGTGTGGGTGTGTCTCTAAATGCTAATCGATTTGGGCAAGTTGGGAAGGGAGCAGACTGGCAGGGTTTAAGTTCAAAGCTCA